TATCCTTTGATCTGAATTCCTGCACTGAGCAGGGGGTTGGATTCAATGGCCTTATAGGCCCCTTCCAACTTAATTATTCTAAGAAATTCTATGATTCTATGAATGAGTCTGGTTTTTTTCCTATCAGCTTTCTTCACTGTCCATCTTTCATATCCATACACAGTAATCAGGAATACAACAGTTTGGATGATCTCCACACTGGTCTCCAGCGACACATCCTTATACTTGATCATTTCTAGGTCCTTTATTGCTGCCTTTTTGAGTCTCAGTCTTCTTCTGACTTCTTAGCTGCAGTCTCCATTTGAAATGATGACTGAACTGAGGTATAGGAAATCTTTAACGATGTTGATTTCTTCATTGTCAGCATCCAAGTTGTGCAATGCTTCTGCAGTCATTATTTCTGTCTTTTAAAGTTTCATTTGTAATCTTGCTTTTGCACTTCCTTCTTTCATCTTCCTCAATAGTCATGTAACGTTTTTATCATTTTCTGCCAGTACGTAATTTGTCACCTACACCAGTGGCCCCCAATCTTGGGCCTCCAGATGTTCTTGGACTACAACTCCCAGAAGTCTTCACCACCACCTCTGCTGGCCAGGATTTCTGGGAGTTGAAGTCCAAGAACATCTGGCATCCCAAGGTTAGGGACCACTGACCTACACATCGTACCTTATCAACATTCCTTCAACTAAATCTAATTCAGTTTTTTGTATGCATATAGACTGAATAGACAAGAGAATAAAGTTCATTATCCGATACCTCTGACAGTGGGAAACCATTCCATTTTTCCAGGACTACCTCGGGCCAGTTGTTCTGTAGGACTTCGACATTCACATCCAGGTTGGTCAGTCTAGAATGGCTTAGGACTTCGTTTCTGCTATGACCAGTACAATCTTCTTCTATTTAGAAGATTCTACACAGCACATAGCAGAGCATACTCCTCATTTGATATTTTCTTCTGGTGATGTTAATGATCAGAAAGTGGAATGGTTAATTGTATCTCTGCTATCACCTACATATCACCATCTGGAACCTTCATTGGGGTGCAGAATCAAAACAATCCACCCCAGAAGCCAGATGGATTCTAATGTTTTCCTGAGTGTGCTTGGGGAGCTTCTTCCTTTGTTTTTCAGTGGCACAATGAAAACCATGACTGATATTCAGAACATGGAAATAATTGGGGCAATTAGCACTATTGGAACTGAGACTGCTTTGGTCACCTTGGCAGATTATCTACGCCAAGGAGGGGATAAGGGGAGCATGATGATATTAGTTCCCCTGTACCTCACAACAGCTTTCTGTATCACTGATCAGATAGCTAGTTGGACTGTCTGGTTGGTTTGGGTACAGGGCACACTATACTGTGGTAGCTCCAACCCCTTCTATCAAGGTAAAAATCATGGATAATGTTTTCACCTTATAGCCTTTGGTGATAATGGTGGATAATATTCTGTTAAGGCTTTTAAAAATATAATTTAGAGCTCAGTACTTGGAGTGCCCTGTTTGAAACCATATCATCTGATTATATAGGTCAGAAGACCAGCAGTCATAAGATTGAATCCACATGATGGAGTGAGCTCCCGTCGCTTGTCCCAGCTCCTGCCAACTGAGCAGTTCGAAAGCATGTAAATGCGAGTAGATAAATAGATACCACCACGGTGGGAAGGTAACAGCATTCTGTGTCTAGTTGTGCTGGCCACATGACCATGGAAACTGTCTACGGACAAACGCTGGCTCTACAGCTTGGAGACGGGGATAAGCACCGCCCCTAGAGTCGGCTACGACTGGACTAAATGTCAATGGGTACCTTTACCTTTACCTATGACTCTATTTTATCCCCTATATTATTTAACATCTATATGAAGCTACAGGGAGATGTCATTCATAGCTCATTCAGAAATACCGAAGAAACTTCAGTGAAGAAGATAGGAGAACTTTTACACATAAATCATGGAGCACTTGATATCAAAAACAAAGACTAGTCTTTAAAAATCACAGCACAGCATAGCACAGAAAATATCCAACAGGGTATTTGATATTATTATTATGATATTGCCATAAACAATATGGCTATGATATTTGGGAAAAGTCCCTCAAGTACCGCAACCCAACATAACATATATAACTGATTAAAAATACAATAGTCTAACAATACCAGCTTAATGGGTCTTATGCTACAAATGAGCTGCAACTGTATATGAAATCTATAAGACACAGCACAGTATGAAAAAATCTATTAATTTTCTTTGAGTGATGTTATGACAAGAGAACAGACTTGCATTACAAGCTGTTGAGTAGCTCAGCAATATTATGCAGAAAGAGGTACCCAAGGCACAGCTACAATCCTCATCCACCCACAGCAACATAGCTATTCTGTTCTTTCACACACTTTATGCTGAGATTTATTTTTCCAAAATCTTACATACACACGTACACACACACAAAGAAAAACATGTTTTACAATTCTTTAGTGTGCGTTTTTCTTCTAGAACTAAGGTTTCTTGCGCAAGAGATGAAAAAAGTAGAATTTGTTCTATTCTCAACAAACCTAATCTTTCATATTGTAAAAACTGTACTACTTACATTTCTCCCCAATTACCATGACTGATGGTCCTTTAAATATGTGCTTTATTTTAATTTTTTAAAAAAAACAACTGTACACTTACAGTGGTGTCAAAAAGGTATGTGATCAAGGAAGAAAACAAGCCAATGCAACTGGTATTTGGAAACCATAATCTTCAGTGATGAAACAGTTGGGAGGGGGAGAGGTTGAAGTCTCTTTCTCTCACCCACCTTTCCTTGCCAATTACAGTGGTCTCAGCCACATCAAGATCATTAGGATGAGACGTTGAAGTATCCATCCATGCACATAAACATACTACAATAATCCTCCATAAGATTTAGAGATGTAAAATGTCTGAAAATTTCCACTTTTCCAGAAGAAAATGAGGAAAAAGGTTTATTTCACGAAAAAATAAACTTTTTGAAAATTTTACAAATCAAATAAGACTGCTTCTCTCTGCCTTCTCCCCATTGCCAAACAGATAGCTAATCAGAAATTAGATTCCCTGGAATTTGGGGACTGAATGTGGCTTGTGAGCTACAGGTTTACACCAGGTTTCAATTTCTTCTAACTTTTCAAACTTATTTACAGTAACGAGGCATTAATATAAAGAGATAGGAGTGGGATCTTCAAGTACAGAGCAGGGCCTTCCGTTTGGAGCACACATCACCTGAATGTATTTGACCATAGCATCTACTAATTCTATTACATGACATTTCAAAAATACTGAGAAACTCAGTGGCAGAAAAGATTCAATTGCCCTATATGATCAAAAACCAACACTATAAGAGTGAGTTAAAGCAACTAGTTCTCAGCAGCATGGACCAACAGACTGATAAAGTATAAAATGGCCAAACAGGTTTACTGTCTCCTTAATGAATTCTTAAAGGAATATATTAAATACATGTTGATTTTTTTATGTTTGCTGTTTCAAAACTATGCTACCTTTGCCATATAGAGCACAAATGCTGAATTCATATATATCAATAGTTTACATTCTGAATCCTGTGCCAGGGCCAGCAAGGTGGGCCCAGAGGGCAAGCTCTGGCTCAACCGGCGAGGTGAGGGCGCAAGGAAAAAAAAAGCGGGAAGGAGGCGGCAGTCTTGAGGTGTCTCTAATGGCAACCAGGCAGTCTAGGGCTAAGTAGAGCAGGGGGAAGGAGGCCAGGGGCGCGAGGCCAACAGACAACTGTCAGGAGGCAGAGCCCAGCTGGGAAGCGAGCAACGAGAATTTCCCAGGCTCCTGTCTCCCGGCACAGGGTCCATCCCCGCTGCTCGCTTCCTGGCCGGGCTTCGGGAGGCAGAGGCTGGCTGGGAAGCAAGCAGCTGAAGCACGCCAGCCAGGCTCAAGCCTCCCAACGCTGGGCCACCCCCGCCGCATCCCTTTCCTGAACTGTTGAGGTGAAAGAGCTACAAAAAAGCAGCCTCTTTGCCACCAAAGTTTGGATTTCCCGCCCTTTCCCCGCCTTTTTTGTTTGTAGGTCAAAGCTCTGTTCGCAAGTCAAAGCAAAATTTTGCGAACAGAGCTGTTCGTAAGTCAAAATGGTCACAGGTCAAGGCGTTCATAAATCAAGACACCAGTGTACATGAAACCACTGGGAGAAATTATCTGGAGTTTTGGAGTTTGGTGTCACCAGTATGCAGATGACACCCAGCTCTGCCTCTTTTTGCCACCTAAATCCAAGGAAGCTACTTTGGCTCTAGATTAGTGTTTGGTATAAGTAAGGGACCGGATTAGGCTGAAAAAATTGAAACTTAATCCAGACAAGGCAGAGGTGCTTTTGGTCAGTCAAAAGGCAGAGCAAGGACCAGGGATGCAGCTAGTACTGGATGGGATTACATTCCCATTGAAAAAATAAGTGTGCAGCTTGGGGGTGCTCCTGGGTTCATTCCCAGAAGCTTTCACCACCAGCTGTGCTGCCCAGAGTTTCTGAGAGTTGCAGTCCAAGAAAACTCAGGTTACCCAAGGTTGGGAAGCACCGCTCTACAAGAACCAATTGTGTCTCAGAGGTCTATGCAGCCTGTCACAATGTATTTCAGGCAAAGAAAGGAAACAGAGTGAGGAGGGTTACACCTATAATGCAGGAAACGGAAGACTGACCACAATGAGGAAGAAAGTTGTGCAGGTCTCTTAACTTCCCTTTTCCTTGGAATGTGATTAGGCAAGCAGACTGGGCAAGAGAGTGAAAACTCTTAAAGCCCCCACTTTTGAACACAGCATAAAAAACCAAAGAGAAAAAGAGGTATTGTACTGTATACGTTAGAAAAGACTCAACCTCTTCATGACAGAACTGTGGGTAATACATTACAAGAAGCTCCTTTCTGTATCTTAACAATTATGCCATTACAGACATTACTGTATCCTTACAAAAGAGCAAATGTATATATTATATCAAGCTACCGTACAAAATGTTCAACAGGCACAATGAGAAAGGCTCACCTTTTCAACTTCATATAGTTTTCACTGGCTGCAGGCCTGCACTCTGCACGTTGGACCACTATTCCTTCCAATGACAGTTTTTCTTGAACAGAAGAGGACCCAAATTAGCAACACGAATCATATGGTTGATCATTTCAACAAATTATCTCTATTTGTAAAAAGATAACTTAAAGATTTTATTCATATTTTGAATGCAGTCTGGCTGTTTCATTTCTGTAAATAATAATCAGTTTCATCAATGATTCTAACAAAATACCACACAAGATATATTAATATTAGTTATTGACAATACATGTCATTGTGTTCAATGTTCCTACCAGCCTGTTATATAAGCTGTTTTTAAATGTCCCCAGAAGACTATATCCTTGTAACAATTATATCCTTCCAGTGCACAATTTTGTTCATATCAGCTTGCTGAAAGTACCATCTTCTCCTTGTGTTTATTTACAGCCCCAGGATATGATATCTTCCGCCAGCCCAATGGGTTTGATAGCAAGTAACCCCATAACATACAAACAGGAGCACATTGCTGGTTTCTCACACTCTTGTACTATATATACTTGTACAGATATACCTTTTATATACACTTAAAGCTTTTATACTAAGTTGCTTCAGATTTAACTAACATTCTTGTTCCAAGATAAAAACACATTGTCTGATAGTGACAATGTTCAGCTCCCAATGAGAATTTTCATGTATTGTGAGTATAACAATGCACAGTGTTTATGTGTCAGAGTACTCCACCTAAGCACACAGAAACAGACAACACACTGTGCAATAAAAGTAATGCAAAACCAGAGGAAAAAACCATAAAAATAAAAAAAATCCTCTTTTGTGAAATACTTTGTGACCCCAATAAATTCCAGTTTTCCCACATGAAGAGAATTTCAGTTTTCCCTGAGTAACAACTGACAACCTAAGGCACATTGTTTCTGTTTCATCACATTATGATTTGTGAAAAAGGGCATGGATTTTTTGTCCCCAAAAGTCCAACTGACAGGAACAAAAAGGATCCCAATAGATCAATAGATTTAGGGTTTTTTTTTTTTTTAAGGGTGGTCTATGGCAAGTGGTCAAAATGTGGAACACTGCTACAGAACAGGTGACAGTGTAGTACAATGAACATATACGTAGATCTAATTTCGTGTGCATTCTACAAGACAAAATACATGTGAGAAGAACACAACATCTCAGCATAATACCTCTGTATACAGTTGACCCCTTGTGCCGAGATAATAAATAAAAGGCATGCAATTTTTCTGTATGGCTGAAGTGTTTGATAATGTGCAGATAAGGCATGAACCGAAAAGGTTTTACTTGGATGTTCACCACCCAGGTTTCAGGGTTCTTATATTCTGGCCAGCTCCACATCCATCTCTATAAACTGAAATCTGAATATTGTTGTACAGCTAGCTATTCTTTTCTCTTATACACATAAAAGGAAAATACATTTCCTTTTTTGCATAAGAGGAGATACAAATGCACCTATAGCACTATAGAAAGATTACGCACTGCTGTAGCATGGTGTGGGAACTAATCCCAGTCAAAAATGAATAGTGTCAATAGAGACGGCTTCTTCAACATCTGTGGCATATGAGCATCTTTCTTCACGGACAGGGCATTTTTAAATATTAAATTCAACACGATGAAAACACCATCCAATTCTCAGATCCAGAATTATTCCTTACCCTTGAGATATAAGCCCCAAATACTGCAGTATCTTTTAAAAGGCTGGGCATGGAGAAGGCTGAAAGTGTTAATTCTTTTCTTTGCAGTAGAATGCTAAGCTGCAGGCTCTGCCCTTCGGATTCTAGTCTCTGCAAGGATGTGGAGAGCTATACTTTCACTGTTCCTCTTGTCTTATAGCTTTCTAGAGATATTCACAAAAGAGAGAGTCCTTTTCTTTTCATTTTTTAAAACAGGAGCCTTAAAGCCATGATTGTTCTAACAAAATATGAGGCAGCTTTCTGTCACAACTTTTAGATTTTTTTTTTCTTCAACCAATATCTTTGTATAACACCTCACAGTACTCAGCGTTATTAAGCTGTAATGTGAGGTGATATACAAAGATTTGTTACAGTCCTGTCTCCTGTCTTACACTTAGATACAGCAATACCATTTTAACTGAAAATGAAGATATGTTAAATATTTCCATGTAAACTAAATCCAGCATTAGAGTTAGCAATCATTTAGTAATTTTTGGTCATGAAAATGTTTTCTAAGAACACACACAGATTGTATTCCCTTCATGCCAATAAAAAGCAAATTTTACCACATATGTAGACCATAAGTATAAAGATATTTCTTTTTAGCACTGCTTTAAACACGGTTTTAATTAGGCAGTACACTAACCATTTGCTTCATGAGCAAGGATCAAAAATTTCAAAATGACGGTGAAAACCTGTTAACTGGATTAAATGCATTAAATGAAACATACAGTACTTTTAGAAGGTTCAGTAATCCTTTCAAAAGGTATTTCAAAACAAAGTTAGCAACCTAATATTTGTAAAGCTTCTGATAATCTTCAAATCTATATTTCATCTTAAATATTACAATCCAAGCAACAGTTACATTTCTGCCTTGCTAAAATGGAAGGAACCTTTCATAATTTAAACCGCTGGAGCCTGAAAGGAAAAATAACTAAAACCACTTTCTCCTCAGCCATCCTCTTGCCCTTATACAGTTAAATGCAAATGTGTGTCTTACAGTCATACTCCCAATACCACACTGCATACATAGCTTCTACGCCACCTGCTGCAAAACTGTGCTGACAAGCTCATGCAATGCTTGGAGCACTCCCAGTCTGTCATCATTTTAGAGCGGCATAAAGGTGCTTTTAGAAATCCTTCTACAAACCAAAAGAAGAGAAAGGCAAGGAAGCCGTCTTAAGAATGGAGCAGAACACAAACAGGCAGGAAACGGAGAATGACAAAAAAAGCATCGACTCAGAAGGCACTGATCACAGCAAGAACTGCAAAATGTCTCCAGTTACTCTCAATGTCGGTGGATATATGTACGTTACACAAAAGCAAACATTGACCAAGTATCGAGATTCTTTTTTGGAAAGAGTTGTCAATGGAAAAATGCTCTGTCCATCTGACGCAGATGGTCATTATTTCATAGACAGAGACGGACTGCTATTCAGGCACGTTCTGAACTTCCTACGGAATGGAGAACTGCTTCTACCGGAGGGATTTAAAGAAAACCAACTTCTGGCACAAGAGGCAGAATTCTTTCAGCTTAAAGTATTAGCTGATGCAGTGAGATCCAGGTGGGAGAAGGAACAGCTTGCATCCAGAGAGACTACCTTTCTAGAAATAACGGACAGCCACGACCGTTCACAGGGCCTCCGAATTTTTTGCAACGCTCCTGATTTCATAACAAAAATTAAATCTCGCATTGTTTTGGTGTCCAAAAGCAGGCTGGATGGCTTTCCAGAAGAGTTTTCGGTCTCTTCCAACATTATTCAGTTTAAATACTTCATAAAGTCTGAAAATGGAACTCGGCTTGTTTTGAAAGAAGACAATACTTTTGTTTGTACCCTGGAAACTCTTAAGTTTGAAGCTATAATGATGGCATTAAAATGTGGATTTAGGTTGCTGACCAGTCTGGATTGTTCCAAAGGGTCAATTGTTCACAGTGATGCACTTCATTTTATCAAGTAATTACTTCTTCTTTCACTAGACAAAGGCCACAAGCATGCAGCCTGTAAATCTCATTAAACTTCAAGACGAGGCAAAATGATCTCTCCAGTTCTGCACATCATAGAGCACTGCTGATAATGAATAAATGTGAGCTAATGGTATGTACACTGTAACATCCATCTCTTGAGTATTATGCCTAAATTTAATTTTAAAAAGACATTTGGTGAATCTGATAAAAATCAGAATGAATGCTAAAGCCATTTGCATCTATGTTTCCTCTCCTGTCTCTCTCTCACAGCATCTAGCATCAATGTAAATGTGCTTTTACATGCTGTAAATCTTATTCCACTTAAGAATGATAAAAGTGTTTTTTTTTCTTTTGTTAACATCCAGAAAACAAATACATTCTGGTTTTCAGGTGAGAATTCAGCTTCAGTTTTATGAATTGATTTAAATGTAAATCACACAGAAATTCTACAACACAATAGAATTCAAGTAGGTACATAAAGATGTCTACCTGATTTTAATAAGCAATACAGCAATACATATTGTGTATTTGAGAATGTCTTATTTTCAGTTACAGATTCAGGGGATTGGAAAGCAGCAATAGACCATTCTGTTAGCTGATCTCCCACCTAAAGGGTACATTTCTCAAGCCGCAATTAACACAAACGCACCCTTGGGCTATAAGAATATATTCTGGGACTGGGGGCTTGCAATGACAAAAATATGCATTATTTTTACACTTAAAAATCGCTACAGGTCAGGAAATAATTGATCACAACAAGGTGATAATACACCTTTTGTACTGGAAAGGCAAGGTATGACCAGAGCACCACACCTATGCCTAATGACTCATGAAACAGACAGCTAATTTTCCAAGTTCAAGTAACCTATCTGCAGATTTTTTTTTCAAGGACTCAGATTTCTCTTCAGAACATAATATGCTTCATTCTGTAATTTATGGTATCTCTCTCACCTAGTAACTTCACATAGCTGTTGATTAAATAACAGCCCCAACTTTTTACTTTTAAGGCAAAGGGTTTTCTTTTCAGGATGCAATCTTCCATTTTATCACAACAAAAAATGCAGCCAGTATGTTGAACAAACAGATTTGTTAGATCTACAGTACTTATAACCATATAATCACAATGATATTAACATGTAAAAATCACCCACTGGGACCCTTTCCACAGGGCAATTGGTGGTAGAGGGCCTGAGGATAAGAACAGGGAAAAATCTAGCTACAGCAGGTCTTCATGCCTTCCTCACATGCCTCTGTCCTCTCTTCTGAAACCCCCTCCCATCTTTAGTTGACAGGTATAACATCTCACCCACCTGAAGTAGCATCTTGTCCAAGGAAGCTCACATCATTATAAATGTGTTACTCTTTAAGGAGTTATAAGATGCTTTGTTGTTTTTAATGCAACAGACTTACACAGCTACCTCTCTGGAAAGTCTTCTAATACAACAAATCTAAAACAAGAATGTCTTAGTATAAATCCAGTTTGGTTCAAAGAAAGAAGTGCAGGCAGACCATGTACAAATTTTATGTCTTGCATGCCCAGGACCATGAATTACACTTGAAACTATATAAACATATAATTCCTTGAATAAGAAAAACATGTAAGCATATAAAATGAAACAATACTTTGAGTACTATTTGTACCTCCACAAAATTCTATCTAGAACCTCATTACATAATACAGTATTTTGACATCCAATAAATTAAAGAACTGTTTACCACCTGCATAGTACTTTTGACTATTCATATATTTAACGTGTTACTATCCTTGTAACTTTATAAGGTACCCTCAGTATTATTGCCAGATGGTGGAGATAGTGAGTTGAGTAAAAGGAGTGGCTTGCCTTAGAGTGATTTAATAAGTTTGTGACAAAGAGTCCCAAAAGTTGTGGGCACTGTAAACGAATGTCTTCCCAAAATTGCAGTTGTCTCTTAGCCACAGTGCTTCAAATCAAACTCTCATTTAAAAACCAAACAACCAACCAAGCTTGACTGGTTGTAGAAATACTGGCTCTTGCGCTTCCTAAATGTGATACAGTCACAGTAAAGTCCCTCATCCCAAGCATGCTATCTGATGTGGGCACCATACATGAACCCATTCCATGGACTGATACCTGGTTACTGAGATAGAGAGATAAATGGTGCTATTAGCCCACAATTGGACAAGTTCTGTTTCTTCTTTATAAGCAGGAGAGCAAATGAGATGGAGAAATCTTTCCTGTCTTTGCAAGTCCACATGTGCATAAAAATCAGAAATATTTGGATTAAGGTTGATATGCAATATGGTTTATAACCTACATTAGAGGGGTTGGGAGGATGAAGCCTGATAAATGGCTAATGCTGACTCTCCACAAAATATATTTTGTAAATACAGGTATCAATTTCAGGAGCATGCACTCTCTGTCTCTTCCTCCCTCCACCTCTATTACAAATTCATCCAAACCTTCCCTTATTTTTAGTTCTCAACCTTTAGTCCTCCAGATATCTGAAATTCCACCTCCCAGAATCACATATAATGCTATCTGGGGCTTTTGAAATAGCTGACAGGCAAAAGATCAAAAACTGCCACCTCAAACCATAGTTTAGCACTACACCTTTTGGGGGGGAAAGTGGTATCAGGCAGGCAGGCAGGCAGGAAGCATAGTTGAGCATATTTCCAGCACTGGATGGTTGCTTCATTAGTGTCAGTGCTCCAACTGAGAATGTAATACTTCAGAATGCAGCGAAGGAAGGCAAAGGCATTACATGTTTTGCTATTCTTCCATCCAAACATGTACCACAAAGCAAACAGATACCCTGCCCATATACAGATATGGCATATCAGGAAGGATTTTAGACTGTCTTCTCCAAACCATGTTTATTTTTATGTGTAAAAGAGACAGACATACGGAACAAAACATGGAGAATGTTTTAACTTTAGAGCCTCCCCACCTAAATTTTGGAACAGTCCTGACAGGCAAAGCCATTTTTTCGTGAGAATGTCCCCCCACCCCACCCTTGGCCATACGCAGCCTGGTTCTAAGAAAAATCTCAAAAGACAGCACTTCAAGGTGATTGGTTATTGTTTTGTGTTAGGTCTATATGAAAACAGTAGGGACATGGTGGTGCTGCGGGTTAAACCACAGAAGCCTGTGCTGCAGGGTCAGAAGACCAAGCAGTCGTAAGATAGAATCCACGCGACGAAGTGAGCGCCCATCGCTTGTCCCAGCTCCCGCCAACCTAGCGGTTCAAACGCATGCAAATGCAAGTAGATCAATAGGGACCACCTCGGTGGGAAGGTGACAGCGTTCCGTGTCTAAGTCGCACTGGCCATGTCACCACGGAAGATTGTCTTCGGACAAACGCCGGCTCTATGGCTTGGAAAGGGGGATGAGCACCGCCCCCTGGAGTCGAACACGACTGGACAAAAATTGTCAAGGGGAACCTTTACCTTTACCTATATGAAAACACCACAAAAAGAGGAATAGTTACTTTGCTAAAGACTGCATCCTAATGAGAAGCAATCTTAAGTAACTGCAGCTAATTTGAAGAGACCTGCTCCAGTATCAGCAGTATAATCCACATATCATTTTATTAATTGCACAGAGATACAAGAGGATACAATAACTTCATGTTGATGTATTTTCAAATGATTCACATCAGATGTTTCAGCAGCAAGAGTAAGGCAACAGAGAAACCCTGCACGGGAGAAACCTGAATCCATGCTCAGCCACTAAGTTTAACAAGTGATCTTGTGCTATAGGACTCATTCTTTCTCAGCAGCAGCATCTTCTGAGGGGTGTTTTGAGAATAAAATGGAATGGCCTCCTGCATTCTACCCTTGGCCCTTTAGTGCAACAGTGTAATAGCAACAAACATGACAAAGAGACGTGAGTAAAAAAAATGTAAAGTCTTATAAGAATTTTTGAAATATTAATTTGACTCCTTTTATCTTATTCCCAATCCACTCCTGTTTAGCCAAGTACATTGCCAAATGTATATATAATTATAAGAGCCAGATTGATTTCTAAAATCTTTGTTTCTCAGGTTTCCATCACTTTCCCTCCCAGACCATATACTGTGAATTTAAGAGCAGCATCACCCTCTATATGCTGAATCTTCTTCAGCTGCTCTGTATTTGGGTTAATCCAGACACAGTGTGGATCAATGTTAATACTTTTACAAGCATGAAAATCATATCTGAAATACATGATGACTGCATAAAGCTATTCTGCTGCTTCCTTGACTCACCAGGGCTTTGCAATAAACACATATACGAAATCTGTAGGCGACATAAGACTATCCTTTTTTAAATCCAATGTTCAAAAACACGGCAAACGATAGTTTTATTCACCACAGTAACTGCCCTGACAAATCATAAGCAGCCCTGTTTTCTGTTCTGTCAAAAACTGACTGTGTAAGCAGAAAATATGGAGGAGGGTATTGCTCATAAAAATGTCACATCATCCATTTTCTTTGAGCAAGTTTGTACTTAACCATCAGTTATAATGATGGCGTGATTAGGTTTTCAAATAATGCCAGAATGTTAAGATGACAAACAATGCCTAAAGTTTGCTGTTAAGTCTTTATAACAGACTGAACATCCTCAGCAGTGCCTGAACTGGTGTACCAGATGGAAAGAGTTTTTTAAACTGCAACTTCACTGCAGATGCCAGTATGATTTGTGGCTGCCCGTACTGCCCAGACAAAGTGAGCCCTCCCTTCTCAACATTCGTATTAAATCTTTTCCCTGCCTAAGCAATTTATACCTTTTCCCCTGCTCGAGAAATGCAAAAGAAATTCGTTCTAGCACGGATCTTCTGGTACTGGGTGGGGACACTCACGGAAGGGTAGGCAGGGAGGACCATAGTCCTTGCTCAGCCATACTGTCCCTTCCCCAGACCTACAATACACATGATCCAGCAGGATAAACTCAGCACCGGGGGCTCTGGCTATCTTCTGAGTTTGTTGTCCACTTAAAGCTACAAAAACCAGAGAGGTTGTTTAATAAACTGGCAAGGTCGCAATACATAGCCACTCCTGCTTTCACCTCCCATAAGGTTCTACCACTTGAAGCTCTATCAGCTTACTACAAGGTAGGACTAGTTCCTATTGTGAATGGAACAGGGAAAGAATAACAGCATCTGTTTTGGGACTGGGAAAATACAGTTGAACACACGAAATCTATTGTGTTGACTTCAAGTAGGCAAATACTGCGCCTGCCTAATATTACTACTATACACAGCTCTTAGCTGCACATATTTTTCCCAAATATGAAGCATAATGCTACCCCAAACCTGTTTAGTTCAAAGGATTGGAGTGGACAATCAGAAATTAGTCAGAAGCTCCTTAGTTACATATTCCAGTGTTAAACCAAGGAGCAAGAATTACTGTGTGAATTGCTGCTAGCTAAGACGTATTTCTTGTTGCACGCCAAGTCATGTAAGTAATAAGGTTCTAGTCATTATACTAACTGTACATTATGCTTATTTCTTTGAATAGCAACAAGCTTTGTAATACATTTAGAATTTTTGGGAAATGTTATCACTGTTGTTCATATTTTGTGTTTTTAAAACTTACTCACAATTACTATATTCACATAGGCTGCCCACACTGTTCCACTTGGGTTAGTGTAGGATCAAAAACTCACAATGGAAGAAAGATCTTCCTTAAAGCCATCATTAAATGCCACTCATTTTTCATGTAGTCAGCTGGAGCACAAGACGCAATGTGCAGTGGACCAACAAGGCGAACAGCAATGCTGTACCATCAGAAAAATGATGGCATCTGTCTGTTGCATACTAACATATCCTACTAACATTATCTAGGATCTTTGATGGGACAGCATGGAGAAGGAGCTGCTCCTTTCTGTAGCATATCATGCAGAGGTATGTTCTCTTATTCTGATAGCAACCATCCTCTAGGAAAGGGGTGGGCAATTAATTTCTATAGGGGGCCACATGAAAACTCTGAACTGTGTTTGGGAGCCAAACCAACTTTGCTCAGGTAAAAAAAAAGGGTAGCCCTGGTGATGTAAGTCAAATGAGTGTTTCTTTATGAGCAGAAACCTTCAAAGAGAACACAAACTGGGAGCACAGAAAGCGGGGCATGGAGAGGTCACTGGCTCTGAAGGTGGGAGGCGGGTAGAGTTGTGTGGCTGTAACTTGAAAGGAGAAGTGGGGTGTGGACCGGGAAGGAAGGAAGGAAGGAAGGAAGGAGAGAGACAGAATGAAAGAAGGAAGGCAAGAAAGAAAGAAAAAGAGAAGGAAGGAAAAAGAGAGGGAAGGAAGGAAAGAAAAAGAGAGAAGGAAGGAAGGACGGGAAGGAGAGAGTTGCACTGGAGAAATCATGGTGGGGGTCTGCCTGGAGATCCTGAAAATAAGAGCGGGGAGAACGGTATGGTAGACGGCACTTCCTGGGCAGGCGTGGGCGCAGAAGTAAGTCCACCGGATGGTGGTGGGAAGCACAGAGAAGACCCCCATCTGCTGGTGACCCCCCCGCCTCCCCCCTTACCTCTTTCCACCAGGTTGGCGAGGTGGAAATGTTACTTGCTGGCTGTCAACACCCAGCAAGTAACCTTTCCTCCAGAGGCCAGCGTAAGTGGCAAAGAGCGGCCGCCCGTATGGGTCCTCCAGCAGCAGCAGGTCCCTGCGGAGGGCAGCTGGCGAGGCGGGCGCCACACTGATGCCGCCGCTGCTGCAAGGGAGCCGCCGCAGCTGGGTGCCTCACAAGAGCAAGTG